TTTTTTTTTTTTTTAAGCTGAGGATCGAACCCAGGGCCTTGTGCTTGCTAGGCAAGTGCTCTACCACTGAGCTAAATCCCCAACCCTGTAACCCCCCAGTTTTAACACCTAGATTTGGATTCCCATGGCAGTTTTTGTTAGATTATACTGCAGTAATGAACTGCCTCGTTTCCTTCCCACATGCATCTATAGCTTAAGGGTTTTTGTTGTTATTGTTTTGTTGTTGTTGTTGTTGTTGTTGTTGTTGTTGTTTTGATGTTTTGTTTATTTTGATCTGGACCCAGCCTGGGGAAAAAATACAAAAAAAAAAAAAAAAAAGCCCCAAATGGCAGAGTTATGTTTTTGATGGCCCAAACACATTGTTCTGATGCTTCATCATCCAGTGGAATTCTTTTGGTCAGAACAGTCCAAAGAGAGACTGGAAGTACAGGACTAGCCTGGACCTGATTTACAACTGGCTAGAGTGAGCAGCATCCATGAGTACGAAGGTGTCAGTTGTCAGCAACTAGCTGAGCACTGTACAGCAATCTAAGGTGCCAAGTGTGTCAGAAAGCAAACTTTTAAAACACCACATACCCTGATACTTGGATATTCTCAGGAAATCAGACCCTGGGAATGTGGCGGGCAGGGGCAGCCACCAGCCAGAACAAAGAGGGAGCAAGCCGGTTGCGTTCAAAGCGTACACTGCTGGATGATTTCCAATGGCAAGGCTGGGCAAGGGTCAAGGTGTGTAAGATTAGGCCCCTTCAAACAAGAAGGGCAAACACCAGAGCTCTTGGTCTGAGGCCCGAGCACCTGGACTGCGTGAGGAGAGAGAGACAGGCTTTAGAGCTGAGGGCATGTCCTGTTAATAGGAAGAACCTGGGCTTCCGTTCAGATTTTCCCAGGGACGAGCACTGTGAACCAGGCAAGTTAACCGGCTTCTTTCCAGCCTCCTTTGCACATTTGAGAACAGGAAAGCCACAGTCTGAGTACCTGCCACGTGGTTTAGACAGAAAGTGTCAGCAATGGTGTCAGGCGCCATTACACCCAATCCTCCGGGAGATCCCATGGTCGTTTTCATTTCCTAGGACAGAGGCAGGGGACCTTGTAGTTGGGACAGGCAAATCAAGGCTTCCTGGTGGAAACTGCCTTGGACTTGATTGTAGACTTGTGTAAGTTCCTTCTTATCCCATCAGTTGTGGATTCGGAAGAGCTTTGCCGATCTGTGGGGAATCTTATTTTAAAACTCCTTTGTGGTCTGCGTCTTGAGAAAGGCCAGCTCTGGTTGGTTCTGCCGTTTCTCTTCTTGAGGCACCTTGCCATCAGGCTGGCCATTGTGGGGCACATTTTATAGAATTGCTGTGTTCTGAGTTACGATTTGACAAAATGGGGACAGGAGAGAATGGAAGAGTCTTCTCAGGTGTTTCTTGAAATGCCATTTTTTTTCTTGTAGACGTCACAGAGATAACTAGAGCCACAAGAAAGAAGCAAATTAAAGCAAACACCCTGATGCTCTGTCATGTGAAGTGTGTTATCTCTGTCCTTTAATATTCCACAGTCGAGCTTTGCACCTCTGACCAAAACGTCATCTGCAAAATTTTACCCTAAAAACCTATTATCTGTATATTTCTGACTTGTTTTACAAAAGATATTTACTCTGGAAAAAAAAAAGAGAGAGAGAGAGAAGAAAATGAGCTTACTCACACACAGTCACGTGTACAGACACCCACGTGCACCTATAAACACTCCTACGCGGGTATTATGAAAGGCTGTTTACTTGAGCTTTTTAAAGCCTCATCTTGAGGGAAATAAGCCAGCCCTAGCAGACTCAACATGAATGTGGGGGGTGGGGTGAGCACCCAAAAGCCATGTCCTGCACCTCCAGAGGTACTGCAGCCTCTACTTGGTTTCCTCTGTCTTGGGACCCTCCCTGAAAAGTAAAAGCTGAGCATGTACAGATGACCTTTATCAAGATCCCCACTAAAGTCTGACCTACCTAAAGGGACCCCCACTGTTCTAGCACTCAGTCTCTGACACTCCCAGCTGTGAATCTGAATGTTTGCCCCTCAGACACTTGTTGAAATTTGACCTCCACTGTGAGGTATTC